CCTTAGTTCTGGCCAAGGCACTCTATATATTACAGTTACACCTAGACATCCAGCGGTAACGACACGATACGTTGTACAGTTGATGGTTGATGATGAGGCAACACATGGAAATTGTTGATTCGCTTTTATTAACATGCACCAGAATGATGAGACATATTTTCAGAGCCCTTGTCTTATTTTAGCAATAGGACATCCAGAATTAGAATGTTTCGGTCAAATTATTACACAATTTAAACTTAATGTGAATATTTATGTACAATCACTACTATCAAAGAAGAATGAGTAGTATAAATTCACCCACGTTTTAATTATATGGTATTAGATATGTTGCATCTATCGTCCAAAGTGTTTGATAAACGTTCAGTGATTGGGTAAAAAAGTTTAGAATACGTAATTACATCCAATGATAGCTATCCTTCTAAATTATCTAGCGTTTACCAAAATGGCAGCAGATTTCAAGTGAGTAATTCATTGTGTTTTGTGTTGTAAACATTGTAAATAATATGATTTCTACCTTATAAATTACTTTTGATTGACATTCTTATTATCTGATATATTTATTTTTATTCTAATTAGGACCGCACAGCCCAGAGAATATTACAGAAGATTTTTGGTAAGTTTCTTTTTAAGGTCATTTTTTAGGCCGACCGAGGCAACAGCACACTACAGTGTAGCACTAACAGCAGGCTTTTGTGGTGCATGAGGGATAATAGTAGGCCGACGTGTAGGCTAGCTATATACTAAGATATGCTTCCAATATTATTTTTAGGGCCAGACCTAGATATCGGGCTATATTCTTATTTTCCTGCACCTTCTGGTCCACACAGAAGTGAACAAACCAATTTATATTAATTAAAATTTCTTTGTGGGGTAATCTGGTTTGTAAGGATGAACTTTTTCCAATTTTTATTTATTCCATAGAAAGAAGACGTACGTCCAGATGGAAGATCTTTAGAAGAAATCCGACCGACCATCTTGAATGTGGGCAAGTCAAAATTATGTTAATTTTTGATACATCAATAATATAATACTGTTATATATATATATATATATATATATATATATATATATATGTATATATATATATATATATGTATGTATTTTACTTGTATATTATGTTTCATATTTCATACATTTCAGGGTCGATATCAACAGCTGATGGGTCAGCATTGGTGAAGCTTGGTCATACTTCTGTTATTTGTGGAATCAAAGCTGTAAGTTTTTAAAAGTTTTAATATTAAAATACAATTATAATTTTTTTAAATGATATACTTTTATTTGTATTATTTAATGTACAGTAATTGTCTTCTTTCTTGCAGGCAATTGCTAAACCTGCTGCAGAAAAACCAAAACAGGGGTTCATAGGTTTGAAAAAAATTTATTTCTTGAAAATCATCAATCTTTACTAAAATATTTATAATGAATTTGTGAAGAATATATATTATTCTGTTGAAATATTTTTTTGCTTTTTGCAGTACCAAATGTGGACTTACCACCTCTGTGTTCATCCCGGTTTAAACCTGGGCCTCCAAGCGACCAAGCGCAAGCAGTTTCACAACTGGTGGCTGATATAATTAAAAAGTATGTGTTTTTAGATTAAAATAAAATTGGTATATATAATAATAATAATGATAAAAATATAGACTGTATAGTTACATTAATGGAAGAACTTCCACAAGAATCTAGCATACAAAATGTTGAACCAACTTCATTCTATTGAAATTGAGCTTTAATTAATAATAATAATAGAAACCAAAAACTATTTACCATAAATGCTTGAATACGTGCCACATAAAAGGTTTTTTTTTCTAAACGCAGCTCATAAATAAGCATCGCAGTGCTTAATCGATAGTTATAATTAATATGCCTACCGAATTACAGGAATACGCAAGTAACATGGGAATGGGCATGGAAAGTGTCACACCAGTATTTTTTATAAGCATCGCTCTGAAATAAGCGCAGCACTGAAGCCTCCAAAAATGTCAAACATATTAAAGAATACATGATTATTCCCAATATATTCTATATTAAAACATTCTCATTTTTTTTCTTTTTCAAGTGCTGGCATTATTGATCTTGAAGATTTATGTATTGCCGAAGATAAAGTAAGTGTAACCATACATACTGCCTACTTTGTGCTGTAGAATATAATGACGATAGACACATTCAGAAAACTCTATGATTAATTATACTGTATAATTAATTATACTGTTTCTATGATGTACATGATTTTGTTTTCTCTTCAGTTGTGTTGGGTACTTTATTGTGACTTAATGTGCTTAGATTATGATGGGAACATAGTTGATGCCTGTATGATTGTATTAATGGCTGCTCTTAAAAATGGTGAGTTTTTTTGGTTTGTATGTGTGTGCGTACGTGTGTGTGTATGTTATACCAACATTTGTGAACAGCAAAACGTGACTTTCTAGACATTTGTTCATTATAAATTTTCTTACCAAAGCTAAACTGGATGACATTGTGCGCTATTTATTTAATTCATATTTGACATTAGTGAAGTCATAACTAATGACAACACCCTACTGCTGACAAGCCTACCAAACCCTATGGTGAGACAAAAAATTTATGTAATGTTGATTAGTTACTTTCGGTATTATCAGTCACTGAAAATGTCAAAAATGTAATGGATGGGACTCTAGGGACCCTCATATGGACATAATATTATCTGGAA